ATATAAGAGTAAAGAAAGCATTACTTGTTCGATAAACGTTTAATTTGTTTCACCTTCTTCTCCAGTTACAGTCATAAACTTTACACTTTTTTCTTCTTGTGTGCGATTTCACGGCAGTTGTGACGTTACGCAGTCATGCAACTGTTTCACCTACAGAGTTAATCTGCATAGTCACCTTAACAAATGTAGTTTGGAAAATGTAACTGTCACTATTTTATACAACACGCTGATTTAATGAAGGGAACGTTACTGTAAACCAACTATAGGAACCTTCGGGTGTCCACCAGCTGAATCTGACCTGCTGGCGCGTTACAGAAGCATATAATCTCATACCAGCAAAAAACAACAACTTTTTGTTCTCCTGTACAGTATACTTATTGATCAAAGCTTCGCTCTACATGTACTTGAAACTATGCTGGTGGCTGTAGTAATATCGGGCAAACTATATAAGAGCGAGAAGAAAAAACATCTGTGTCTGACCCTGAGTGAACCAGAAGAGTCAAAACCCCAAAGGAGTTAGTTTATTAAATGTTTTGTTATAGTGGGAATATTGGCTATTTGTGTCAAGTCAGATGTGTGCGTGTTGTGAGCCAGATTGGCACTGACTGGATTATAAATATAAAATATTCTGTCTGCTTTGTAAGATTCTGTAGAAAATGTCCTTTTTTTCTTGTTAAAAAAAGAAGAAGTAGAATGTACTGTTATATTTGTCATTTTTAACCCTGCTATCTATCCAGATGAAATGCCTTGGATTTGCTGTAAATTGATAGCATTCTGTGTCCTTTCCATATCAGAATATCTGGGGTGACCTTTGCAGAATAAATAGATTTTACGCAGGAAAGGTTTATCCGTGAAAGCATCATTAATAAGTGTGATGTTCCACTTGTTTAAAATAACATTTATTTTTTTTCCAGCGTTTTGATACATTGTGACAGCACAGCGTGTAACATCTGAGGAGGAACTAACTGAATCCAACACTTTGTCACAAAATATTTGCGCTGACTAATGGATAAATGAAAAGTCAAATATAGGCATAGTGATTTCATATTACCAAATGCAATATATAATACAGGCAGTTGGACATAAACTAAAGACAAAATGAAATACAAAGGTGAGATAACTGAAATAATACATAAGAAAAAGAAACATGAATGGCATTTACACGTTATAGATCAACTTTTACAGCAGGAAACGGGGTTAACAAGTAAACTACGTGTTTTAATAACTTATTTTACTCGTGCGTGTGCGCGCGTGCGTGTGTGTATGTGGTAAAATTTGATAGGCTCTAAAAAGTCAGAACTCTTTGATAAATAATTTCTTCGTACTTCGTACTTTTGCTTTTGTGTGTCAGTTTAGTTTTTACTCTTCCAGCCTGATCGGGATTCATTTCATTCTGCAGTCTATAAATACATTCGGTTTTACGTCATTTTACTGATGGCGTAGTAAAGTTCAAACATAGGGGTTGCCATTCAAACTTTTGTGGTCTAACATATAAAATTATTTTGGAGAGTTACACATAAGTGGTTTAGTTTCTTTTCTTCTTTTTTTCCTTTTTTTTTAAATCCCTCTCAGATCATTTGACTACAAGCCAGATAATCCTATTATGTACAGCAGCCCGTAGCCAGAACACATCACACATTTTCAACACTTGTGGCTACAAATACAATGGAATGTGTCTCTATGATCAGTCCACCGGCTTCACTGTTTCTCCGGCGTGTTGTTGACCAAAGGCCCATACAGGCCGCTGGCATAGCCTTGCTCCTTGTGCAGCATTGTCCTGTCTCTTATCAGGTCGCTAAATGCATAGTCCATTGGAGGTCTGAAGCCCAAAGTGGGCATGAGCCCGGTGGTGGAGTAAGGTGTCATGAAAGCCAGTCCCCGGCTGTGCGCCGAGTAGGCCAGCCGCAGCGGGTTCAGTCCCAAGTGTGTGCCCAGCGGGTAGGTGCTAGGGTCTGCGCCAAAGTGCGGTGCGTTTGGCTGCAGAGGAGAAAACGCAGAGCGGTTGCTCAGCGTCATAGCCCCGGGGAGCATGGGCCTCGTCGGGGCTGTTGTGGTTGCGGATGCCGCCGGAGGCTGCTGCGCATTTTGGAGCATCCTCTCTGCCGTCCACGTCTCGTCTGGCCCGGCCTTTTTGGGGCCCTGAGCGCCGCTGTTGTTGAGGATCTGCTCGATGGCCTGCACCACATCTTTGCCACAGCCCTGCAGGACGAGCTCCAGGACGCTTCGCTTGTGGCTGGGAAATACTCGGGTGAGGATGTCGATGGCGTTCATGTGCCGAGAGGCCGCAGAGGAAGGGGAAGGCTCCTGCTCGTCTTTGTCGGTCTCAGAACCCGAATCCGAGCCGATGGAGCTGACGGACCCTGGAGTTTCTTCTCCGTCTTTCAAAGGCTTGGATACCGGTGAGCTGATGAAAGACTCGCTATCCCCGTTCTCCGAACCAGAGCCTCCGTGGCGGCCGTCCGGGGACGAGATGCCGGGGGCTGAGTCACCTTCGGTGGAAGCCGGTTTCCCCGCAGATGGTTGAGGTGTGGCGGACCCGGAGAGCTGGTTCTTAGGAAACAGCTCATACTTCTGGATGCTTGAATCTGCTGACAGAACCAGAGTGTGTAAGATTGAATGAAAGCATAAAACAGAAGGCCATCAAAAGCGTATCAGCACAGAGTCATAATCAGTACAACAATCACATCAATAAAGAGGCAGTAAAGCGACAGACATACCAGTATTCAAACAGCAGATTTAACACGTGAGCTCAAATATCAGAATTTAATCTGTAAAGGTTAAACAAACATCATCAGCATTTATGCTGTGACAGCTGATTAGGCTCAATGTTTAGGGTTAAATGATTCTGCGTTTAACAGAGTCGCAGTTTGATGACAGATAAAGCCTTTTAGTTTAACACACTGATTTGCTACCTTCTCACGCGCTTCTTAAACATTACAGCGAAGCTTGATCCGCTCACCTGAGTTGCTTTCGCTGCTGACGGAACCAAACACTTCGTAGTTCGGCCGGGGTGGGATGATGCCGTTGGCGGCGGCGATAGCGAGTCCTTCCGCCGTGCCATAGAGCAGCTGCAGCTCCCGGGCTTCGTTCTCCTCCTGCGCCTGCTGCCGCCGGAGCGCCACCTGAGCCGCCATCACCCGCTGCCTCTCTGCGATCAAGGTGCACTTGGCGCACATGCAGTCCTTCCAGCGGCAGTAGCGCTTGTGGCCCTTCAGCGCGGACACCACGCCGTGGTTCCTGCAGCGGGCGCACTTCGGAGTGCGCGGGTACTTGTCTGCGGCCCGCAGGAGGATCGGGGGCCCTCGCAGCAGGTTACCGGCCATGGACACCGGAATGGAGGCTGCCGCGGCCGCTGCCGCCGCTCCGGGGTGGATTTGTGAGGCGGAGGAGGCTGTGGGGAGCTCCGGTCTCAGATCCATGCCCGCGTTCCTCACCAGCAAAACTAACGTTTTAACGAGAAATCGGCGACGTTTGAACGATCTGCTTTAGTTAAACCGACGTTGGACTGATCACATCTGTCCGGCGGTTCTTAGCACCTCCGGGCAACAGGTGAAGCCACCGATTTCTGCTGTCAGACAGAAACAGGAGGGGAAAAAAATAACAATTTATGATCGAAAGTCTGGTGGAAACTGTCCAAGTGTTCTCTGCCGAAGAAGCAAAAATCTGACTTTAAAGTCAACTTTAAATCCGACAAGAGTCTGAGCAGAGAGGAGCGATCATTCCTCCCCGACAGAAAGTTCAAACTGTCCAGGAGGAGCTGAGGTTGTTACTCGCCGCAGCCTGAGACACTAACTTCCTCCAGAGATTGTCAGTGGATACAGATCCCTCTCTCCTCTCTCTATTGTTGCTCCTACGTTTTCATTAGACAAATTTGACAACAATGTGGCGTCTGTCATTGGCCAAAGGGGGAAGGAGCAATCTGATTGGCTTGCCTCTTTTTTCAACTGTGTCCACCTGAGTTCTTTTTTCCAAATATCAAGTGTTAAGAATCTGAAGGGAGTTCCCGGAAAGCTCAAATCGATGCAGTGTATTACCCCCAAAACAGAATTTCATAGATTTAAAACAATAGCCCGTGTTTTTTTCCATTATTGTGGTAAACCAGACTTCCGGTGCGATGCCAAACAGGACAATTAGAAATGTAATGAAAAAAAAAACTTAAAATGAAGGAAATTTTCAAACGTTCCAGGAAGTTTCTGTATATATCTCGATTTTAAAAACTAGTTTAACTTGGCGACATGATTGTTAGGATATGAAATCGCTATTCCTGCATCTACATCCAATCGCAGAATATTTTTAAGACTTAAAATACTCAAAATAAAAGATGATGCGTGACTGTAATCTCATCCGTAAAGGTAAGTATCATTTATTTCATTGGTTCAAAAAGAGGCAAGATTTTTCTCTGTCGACACACAATATATATTTTTTCGTAATATATTTGCTACAGAAAGTGGAAGAAGCTGTCGATGCTGCTAAATGTCGCGGGAAAACCAGAGCGTTCACATTAATGTCAACGCCAAGCTTTAAATATTTGTTTCGCACATGATCCGTTTAAAAGTTAAAAAGTACAGAAAATGTGCCACTTTTTGTTTCATCCATATACTGCGGACTGCATGAATATGTTGTTCTCTGCTTGGTGATTTAAACACGCGAGTTAGACCAGTTTTCATCCGAATTTCGTTTTTTGTCTTTTTTTCCTCCACATTTGAAGCTTGAAACGGTAACATAAATTATTAATGACGACTTTGGTTCTATATTAGGTGTTTCTCTTTTAGTTATTGAAATAATAATAATAATAATAATAATAATAATAATAATTTTTAAATAGTGTTTTCTTTTTTTAGGTTCCACAATTTCGTTTGCTCTGATTTTGTTCACCTCATATATAAATATTTTTTTCCGTTTATTTCAGCATTTTTAAAAAAAATTGCATTTAAAAAAATAGTTGTTTATTTATTGCAAAAGCATTTTGATTAGATAATAAAAAGTAAGTAATCGCTGGGTAAAAATTTTAACATTAGTTTATCATTCATAGCTCGGCGAGTTTTAAAAATAAAATACTACCTGAACGGATATAATAATAATAATAATAATAATAATAATAATAATAATAATAATAATAATAATAATAATAATGACAGTAGTATTGATAACGCTTAAAGACAGAAGAGCGGCTTTCCGTTTTAATTCTTTGCTCTGCTCCTTCTATGAACCGGGGAAAAATAAAATAAAATAAAAACTGGATTAACAAATTGCTTCCGCCCTCCTCTGTTGTCCTCCATAAAATAAGCGCTCTCCTTTGGGTTCTGCTTTGTCCTCCAGTCACCCTCCATTACCTGAAAAGCGATAACGCTCTCATGCTTCCTGAGATTTAAGAAGTCCGCCGCGCACAGAGCTACAAAAAGGGCATCGCGCGCAAGCCACCTGCTCCCTCACCTGTTCACTGATGATTCGTGCAGCTACTGGAACTCGGATTTTTTGAAAGTTATAGCTCTGATGGTTTAGTTCTGCTTCCCCCCCCCCCCCTTTTCTTTCATCAACAATTGCTTGCACCTTAGAGGCCGACAACAGTCTTTGTGATCCACAACAACATCTTTAGCTGGAAGAAATGGTTGCTCGGTGTGCAGCAGCGAGTGTGTGCAGCCCTTCCTCTCTCTCCCCTCCCAGGCTCATTGTTTACTTTCTGAATCACTGTAAGCAAATGCCATCTGTTTCCCTCGCCGCTGTCATCTGCACCTTAATTACCTAGCCAACAGGCTAATAGAGACGATATTAAAACTACATCTTTTTGACATTCAAAGTAATTATCTGCATGGGCGACGATCTTACTCGGATAAAAATTGCCCGTCCTGCACGCAAGTGAAAGTTGCACACAGCAGAAAGGGCCTGATGCTCACAGGAGAGATTATGGGCCTACAGCCTCACCTCAGGATGGCTGATTTAAAACTGCGCATTCAGAGTACAGCCAGGGAAACAGGAAGGTTTCCACATCAGCTTCTCTTATTACGCGCATTTTTCACTCTTAATAACAGTAGAAATAAAGTGACAATTACTTGGACTTGACACGTGTTTGCTGAGCTATATTTATCCAGGAGGAGCTCATAAGGCTTCTCTGCTGTTTTAATATCGTCGCAAGACTTTTAATTACGTCATTGCCGCCTCTGGTTGAAGTTACCGCTCATTTCTCGTCCACGTCAAGTTTGGTTTAAGTTCATTTGTGGAAAAATATGTATTATGATTAGGGGATTAGCTTCACCGGTATTCCCACTGGTCCAATTAAAAATGCCCCCCCGCGCAATTAAAAGTGACTGTGGGCACTTTCGAAAAAAAAAAAAATCCGACATTCTTTTAACCACTTCATTAGGCCTGTGCATCAAAAACTATGCGATGCTTTCATTTCTTTCAGGAAGGCTACAGACGAATGGGTTTTTAACACCCTTTTAAGATCACAACAAAGGCCATGCTTGACCCAACATATGTAGCAGCATGTTTCCGCTGCCCCCGCACCCCGGTGCGGCTTTCTAGCGGCCTCTCCCACTGCCGCTGCCCCGCCTGCAGCCCGGCTGGGCCCGGATCCCCTCCCGCGCTCTCCCGCTGCAGCAGCCGGCTCTGTCACACAGAGGCAGAGGTTAGAGTAGCAGTTAGACAAGGGCCCGCGGAGAAAGGAAACGCACTGGGTTTTTTTCTTCTTTCAGCTGAAGTATTTACACGCTTGACGGGCACACCGAGGAATACTCCGGGTTTATAGACAAGAGGTTGTTAACCTGCCACTTCACACCAGTTCTGCTGAGCTGGGGAAATGGATCGGTCTAAATGCATTCCCTTAAAGGCAAAGTCAGGAGAGCAGTGAAGATTAGAGAGCCACAGAACACAATGCTGTGGGAGTTTAAAACTGCCGTGCGCTCATATACGCACACACGCACACCAGGCAAATTCATTATATTAAGCATGAACAGCCTCGATAATGATTATTTCAAGGCCAAATATTTGAACAAATGCACTTTATTTGGCTCTGTGTGTGTGATATCTATAGTTTTCTACATAAGAAGGAAATGCCTTTACAAGATAACTAAAATTTGCCATATCTGTTGTAGTTATGATGTCATAAAAGCGGACTCTGGCTGTATTCATGATTTAGAAAGGCTCTGCGCTCACACAGAGAAGTACCAATGATTCCTTGTAAGCAGCGTTTTATTTAGGTTTTCGGCTGGTGAAAATGTGGGCTTCATTTGCCAAAAACCAACCTGCAGTAAAGCAGTGCTGCAGAATAAATAGCGCAGTGTGAAAAGGAAACAAACAAAGCGACTAAAGTGACACCGGTTACTCGCCAAGCCCTGCAAAAGTCAAACATATAGGCTAAATTTACGCAGGCCTGGCTGAGTGAGGCCAGACGGTGAAGAGGCACTTGAGCTAAAGAGGCAGACAGAGGTCTGTCAAGCATCACTCTTCACCCGCTAGAATAACACTTATTTGTAAATGGGGGATAACCCTGCCATGGCGTATGAATATTTCAAAGATTTGAAGGGTCCCTCTGTGCCAAAACTGTTGGCCAGCACTCAGGCAATCTCTCTCTCTCACACACACACTCTCTCACAAAATACGTTTTTCTGCCCCCGAGGTAGGTTGGCAGGGATTATCTTTGTTTAATGAATGGGCTACAAGTATTCATCAACACGGCGAGATTATTGCACAGCCTATAGTCGCATATAACTCCAGCGTGTGTGTGTGTGAGTGTGAGCGAGAGAAAAAGAGGACAGAGACAGACCTACACACTGCAGCCAATTAAAACGCACTCTCCCCTGCTCTATCCCTCCACATCTGCCTCCTTTTCTCCACCAACGAATGGCGCAGAAAAGAAGGAAGCTCATGAATAGGCGCTCATTGAGATCACAGATGGAGTATGGCTTTCTTTTTGCTAGAAATTTGAGAAACACCATTGTCCCCAATCAAAACTCAATGTGTTCGCCTACAATGGTGTCGGCTTTGAGCTCCGCCGCTTCAATTGGCCTTGTTTTTGAAACTTGAAGTGTTCAGCACAAAGACTTGGCCCTCCTAGATGTCACCGTCGCTTCGCTTCAGTGTGTGAGAGTGTGTGTGTCTATGTGCGCCCAGAAGAGAGAGAGAGAAAACACAATTAATATGAAGCTGTAATTACTCCCCTTCACGCCACTGCACCCATTCAGGACCCCACTGGTCCATTTATTGCTTTATCCCATGTGGCTGATAATCCGAATACCACAGGTTTTTATAAGGCCTCTGTGGTGTTTTAAGGAGACAGATCTGGAGGTATGAGCGAGGGATGCGGTCCTCAGAAAACTGAGCGACAAGAGCGCACAGCAGCGGGCGAGGGATGGTTGACGCACATTTAATTATTCAATTAATATTTAAAATAAATCTATTAGCGCAATGGCCTGTAGGTATGTGCGGGAATTCAATGCCATTAAAAAAAACAGATCTTCACCAATTATTTACGAGATGCTTTATTAACCTTTTATATAAAACTGCATCTGTATTCACAAGATTTCTATTTGACATTTTCACATTCAGGCGTAAAAATATGTAACTGTTCTTTTAAAAAAAATCTAATAAGAAGGATATGTTGGTAAATTTAGTTATTTTTGGTTTTGGAGGATAATTTTTTTTTGTTAAGGGACGTTCCGTTTTTTTGGTTTTTCAAGCGGTTGTACATTTAAACACGTTTAATTAGACCAGAGAGCGCCCCCTGCTACCGTCAGCTCTGCGGTGGATGCGACTGCTAAGGAAAGGAATATTTAAAATATTTGGAAATAAAACGGCACTAAAGAATAAAAACATAATTTTTGA